CAGGCTACATAATCTAACAGTTGGGATGACGTAATCACATGAAATGCATTCATGGAACTTCCCCAAGGTTTTGTTGAGAAATCAGTATATTCAAAACACAGTATATGACTTACTTGACATGACCAAGGTGATATAACTGGAGGTAATTCACTGTGTCCGAAATACCATTCACCAAGAAATATTGCACCTTTGTCTACTGTATCAAATAAACAACCGAATCGGACTTGAGGGTAGGTACTGAACGACAATATTGGATGAAGGTTGCACTCTCTCGTGAACTGACAGAAGTAGAACTACAACTCAGCAGCCAAATAGCAATGTGCTGGTTACAGATTCTAAAGATCTTAGGTTTAAGCCATGGAGGGCGGAGTCATGGGTATTGCACTATTGGGACTAAACAGCTGTTCAGTGTCCCCAGGCTTTCAATGGTTCTCCGACTGATGCCACTCCGTGATGAATACCAAATTGAAGTAGAGGAAAATTAACTTCATTTTCAGGTTTCATGCATGAAGACTAGATGTCAAATCTACGGTAAACAGTTTCAGATATTAGTATCAGTTTATTCTATGTCAGTCATATTTGGCCTAATTTGCATGTTACAATGTAAATGAATTTCGTCTTGTAAAACCTTTATGTTTGCTCAAGTTACAAAATAATGCGCTTAGTAATTAGTAAACTCATCATATGATTTTGAATGCATTTCATGTAACCTGATAGCTATTTGTTAGTTGAACAAAGAAAGATGTACTATTGTGATCTGTTTATGACAACACTTAAATTTGTTCACAAATTCATCAGCAGGTAACTGTTGAAGCAGTGAAATACGATGTCAACAGAAATTCTTTCGCGAAGCACTCATCTGAGATCATGGTTTTTAATCTCTCTCTCTCTCTCCCTCTCCCTCTCTCTCTCTCTCGATTGCAATGGATAGTAATCGGAGAAGGTTAAGAAAGTGTCATCACTCATCAATATTTTCAACTAGTCATTCAAAATACCAGTAAATAGATTAGGCTTATTTACTCGTGATTTATATCTCTATGGCTGTATTCCTTGAGTGACTTTAAAAACCACCTTAGCAACTGCTGAAATGACCACCTGGGAAAGTACTTTTCCATAAAATAAAATAATGTAGTTGGCTCCCTCATCAGTTTCTAGGGTGACCTTTAAACTCACCTTATTCCATAGTACAGAGAAGTCTAATTAAGATAAAAAGTAATATGCAATATCCATATTGTTAATGTGATAAAGTTATCCCACTGTTTATTTGACTGTTAGATGAAAGAACGCAAACTGTTTGACAGTGAACTTGTGGAGAGTAAGAAAAAGTAGCTGAAAGTTCTTGTATTTTATAAAATGTCCTATTTTGAACCGTAAAATTACTTTTTACCTAGTAGGCGTTCAACTTCAGACCTTGCATGCGTCGGCTAAACTGACGTCCAGTATTTGTAATTTTGATACTTGTGATTTCCCGTTGCTACCTAAGGTCGGATTGCCTGATCTCTGTTGGCAGATGGGATCCTATGCAGACGCCTCGGCACCACCAGATATTCATGATTTGGCGTAGATTCTAGGATGTGTGTTTCGTCCTATTTGGGTCTCGTCGACTGAATGTACCTCCAGCAAGGACTCGAACCAGGTACCCATCGCTTCAAACATCGAAGCGTTATCCACTAGGTCACTAGGGCATAGGAGACACCACTTGTGCAACAGGTACTGGATACTGGCTTCGAGTCTTAGTGGAAACGACATCGCTTACTAAGGTGCAGTCACATCCAATTGACGAATCCCGTGTAGGACGAAATGTGCGTCCTGGATTCAAATACACATCTGTCATTTATTCACAAATATTCCTGGTGTTTTTAATTTTGCTAAAATATCAAGTAACCGCATAAATAAATGTAATTGCATAAATCTAATTGGTGTACTGAAAACTTTACACATTTCATTTTACATCAACAAATTATGCTGTCCTCGTACTGATAAACAGATAAACATGTGTTGTTTGACGAAATTTCAACAATGTACTATTACAAAAAAAGATTGATTTAAGTGTCCATTGGATGTTCAACAAAGCATATGATTTATACTGAGTGATGATTGAAGGTGAATATGAAAATCTAGGTTGCGGCAAGATTCGAATTAGCTAACTCCGAGTCCTGCCACGACCCCGTGTTTCATTTCACTTTCATTCATCCCTCAGTATCATTAAGACAAATCTGGCAAAACCATAGCTATCTCAAATAGTCAAACTGATGGTAAATATATCAATAACATTAACTTTAGCGGTCTAATATCCCTGTCGCATCCATCTCCTGTAACAGTTTAAAATCCTTATTTTAAGAATGGCGTGGTCATAACCTCCAGTACCAATGTCCCAGTTTATGTACTGCCTATTTGCACACACGTTATTTCATGCATATTATTTTTCAAGTTATCAGAGGACAGCGATTAAGTTCGACTTGTACCGGTAGGTGCATTACTCACACATCTGTGTGTATGTGCACGTGTTAATTTGTTGATTCAACTGTTATGGTATTATCAGTTTGTCACTTTATACTGTGTTGACTATTTATCAACTAACATCGTTATAAGGAAGGTGGCCGCACTCTGTAACACCGTAACACAAAAAGCATTAAGGGGAGAAGGCTAAATGTGAAGATTTGCTTATCAGCTTACTGGATTTCAGTGAATGTCAGCTCATGAAATAAATGGCTTTGGTTGTTGTTGGAACAAAATGATCAAGTTTTGATGTACAAAGTCCTGGACATTTATTTACATTTAGTTGTTACAAATTGCTTAGTTTATTGGGGAGCTAATGAGCATGGTCACTGTACTTTCTAGGTAAACTAAACCGGTATTGGAGTCTAGTTGATGGCTAGCAGTGGAATCCAGGACGCACGTTTGGAACTCGTCAGTCGGATGTACCTGCACAGCGGTGAGTGAGACTCGAACCCAGAACCTATCACTTCAAACGCCAAAGCGCTGTCCACTAGGCCACTGTTACACGACAGCCGACATTTGTGCAAAAAGTATGTTTCTGTTTATTCATACTTGTAATTTACTACTGCTGCTCTCATGTCCCAGTGGATTAGTGTGTTGGGCTTTATCGTTTGAAGCGATGGTTATTGGGTTCGATTTTCAGCGGGAATAACATTATCCACTGGGTACAGCTACATCCAACTGACGAGTCCCAGACAGGACGAAACGCGGGTCTTGGATTTTACTGTTAGCTATCAAATAGACTGTAATGTAATGAATATCCAGACAATATGGAAGTCTTCGAATGCATGCCCATCTGCCAGCAGAGGTCGAGCAATGCGACGCAGTATACCAATCGGAATTTTCTAGTATCAATAAACACCATAAACTATGCCAAAATAATTCAGTTTGGAGGTTTGTGGGGATTTTATTTATTGACTTCAAATTGCTGTTCTTCAATAGATAATTCCTTCAAATCCTATAAAGTGAATAACTTTCTGGTGTTCATCAGTGACTTGCTTCGAGATAAGTCGTGACCGGTGGAGCAAAGTAGGACGAATGTGAGGACAGGCAGTGAATTATGGTACTAGATGAAGGTTGCACTGTTTTGTGAACTGACAGAAGTAAGAGTGTATTTGCCATTGGACTCCAACTCAGTGACTGCGTGGTGGCATTCTGGTTGCGGAACCTGAAGGTCTCGAGTTAGACCTCTGGAGGTCAGGGTCGGGGTCATAGACTCCTATTTCAGGATTCTTCAACTCTTTTCCCACAGTTGAATGGTACAAGAAGTCAGCAAAATATTTTTTAAGTAACCGTCTCTCTGAGTGCTGTTTCTAATTCTGATAGAAACTACAAAAGTGTCACTAATCTTTATGGATTATTCATCAGTCTGCTTGTGATCGAAATATGCCTGAATATGATTATTTGTTCTTCATTATTTTGATATTTATATCTCCCTACGATTGAAAAATTATTTTTAGTACCGTTTTTCTATTCACTACCCAATAGCTTTATCAGAGTATCGGAGTGATAAGTGTACGGTATGATTTTCATCATACGTGTACTGATTATGTCACTTTATGTGGGTGAGGTGTAGACAGACCCTTCATTTTCGTGGATTTCTTGGAAGTCAACTGGAAGCCTTTCACTCTTCATTTTCGCTAAGCTTGAAGTTAGTCTCCACAATTAATTCTAACAAAACATTTTACTGCGAGATCTAAAGAATCTGTTAAATGGTTGGAGGGAATCGACAGGAAGCTCTGACTGGACCTCAGGTTTCGTGATTCTTGTTACTTGTTCACAAAGTGTATCTGCAACCTTGAGGTGGCTTATGTTCCATCTGAAATTTGAACCCATATCATTAAGTATTGCAGTCAGTGACGTTAACATTAAGCCACCGGTGCCGCGATTGATCTGATCACTGAAGAGTGATCAATTTTGTGTTGTCTAGTCCTTAGTGCTGACCGAATTGCATTGATCTAAGGAATGTTGCTCTTTGTGCAATAAAGGATATCTCTTAGTGTGGTTTATTTCCTGTAGAAAATTCTTCATATTGCAGCTGATAAACACCTCCAGACCTCATACTATATGTTTGACCTACATGAGACGACTACTGTTGTACCTTATGGTTCTGCACTTCTTTTACTAACTTATCAAGTTTACGCATAAAGTTCATCGAATTAGGCAATTTTTAGCCATACTACTTAATTCCATTTCTTTTTCACTAATTGACTACTTGGAATCAACCTTGAAGTTAGGTGGATAGTATGCCTTGTATTGAATTCTACAAACGATTAAATGTGCATATGGTTGAATGGTTCCAAACTTAGCGTTTCTAATTAATGACTAATGATTTCCATTGAGTTCCTGATTGATATTGCTTCATTGAATATAGAAAATTCGCAAATTAATTGAAAGCTTAAAGTTGATTGAAAGTTGAAATTCTTACATTTTTATCTTTCTTTGTTTCTCTCTACATTTATTGACTATCTTTGATGGGGAAATGAATGATTCTTATACAGGTATGTGTTACGAATGATTCAGATAGTACTGAATATCAAGAGGAGTTAAATACCACTTGGAAATTACTACCTAATATGAATGATAATCAAAATTGGGAACAATTTTATAGATGTATTAAATTTCATGTGGAATGCCTTACCAATTATTTGAATGAAATGAAATGTTTCATTACTGTTGCTGATACGACAAAAATAGTATCATCGTCATTGTCTGCAACAACCGATATTACTTATGCCAATACTGGTCAAACTTTGAACTATCCTGTTGTGCATTTATTAGAGTCAAGTAAAACAGATTTATTGAATACTGATTGGCAGCAGAGTCAATTAAATCATATTGAAAACGAACGTGAAATTTTGCAGGTTAGTTAACCATGAGTACCTTGTATCATCTACTGGAGTTACTTGCTTAGAAGTTTCATTTTTGACTGTAATGTATTCTACGCCTATTTTTCACAGTTAACGATTTCTAAGTGAAAGTACCTATTGACCTGATTAGGCTAGATGAAACCACTCATCATTTCAAAATCGTGTATGATGGCTGTACATTAAGAATTTCTTTTGTTTACGACTTATCTTGTCAACGCCTAACGCCGACAGATTCAGTTTAGACAATAGTCACAGTTCGAACTTCACTTCATCTGTCCACGTCTTGGGGATCAGACAGTATCACTAGCCCTCACACATTAGGTGTGACTCACTGACTATTGGATGAAAGTCCATAGGGTTGGTGAGTTTCACTTTATTTCATTTCATTTTTTTCGATGCTCTCACGTTAGCTAGTTAGGTTAAACTTTTACAAAGAAATTAGGCTTTCTTAAACCATTCTTGATAAATTCCCCTCTCAACTGCATAAAATACAACATATGAGCTGATGTAGCAGGTGTATAAATTACATGCTTATTCCAAATTCTTCTACTAGGAACTGACCATACATGCGTCATATTTTTCAGTAAATTTCTACTGGAACACGAGAGTCATCGGTTTGAATAAAATGTTACACCACTATGCAAACTAAAATGGGAATTATACATTATAAGTGGTTATCTCACTACTGCTGTTTACAAGGAATACCAAATGTCAGTTTTTCTTTGACTGTTTATTTTCGTGCAGATTGAGTTTTCTCTTTCAGTGAGGCTACGTTTAATTAATATAAACGCCGATGTGTACAGAGAGAGCTTAAACATTACCATAGATTATGAACCAGTATAAATTTGTTCATTTAATATAATTATCAAGCGAGCCTTAGTTATCAAAGCATAAAATAGAATGGTAGACTATGGTAGAGTGTCTGATGTAGAACTCAGCTATCGCTATGCACGGAGTTGTATACAATGTATGTAAAAGAAGAGACTGTTTACTGCCTTTTGTTTATAGATTTAGTAGAGAACACAACATCTGTTAGGTTATTTTTAAAACAGAGAATTATTAAAAGTGAAAACTACGGAAAATAGATGTTTAAGTTCTGTGATAGCACCTATGTAACGATGAACAATATATATTCGCCTTTTTCTTTACTGAATATTACTGTATTATGTACTGTAGTGTATCTAACAACAAGACAGACAAGTATTGAAAAGGTTGAAGTAATCTAAAAAACAACCTGAGTCTATCAAGAGACAACCTTTCTGTTTCATATCATTAAAACAAAACTGTTCGCTGGAGTAGAATTTTGCGCGCAACTCAAGTAGGCAACACCAACCGGCTGAATGAAAGTTACTTTTTTTCCAAACAAACAAAATCAGAAGATAACAAGTCAGATTCAAGCTGTTTGGAATGGTAATCGTGAGAACTTTGTCAGTCGCTGTTCCCTCAGTTTGCCTCATAATGCTGATTACACTTTTAGCTCAAAGTGCACTTCTTCACTAGTACTTCTTCAAAGTCAGAATGACTGACTGCTTACTGTGAATGAATCTACATCATTCCACGTTTCCTGAAGTTTTGCGAAGAATGGGGCTAAAGTTTGAGACCACACATCTCTTATTGCCGTGGCGCACAAGTTCAAGTAACAGAATTATTGTGTTCCACTTAGTTAAACTTTCGTGTAGCTGACACATGTAAAAACACAATTATAGATTTTAAGTTTTAGTCAACAAACGCCTAGAACATGTCAGTGCATATGAAAAAAAACTAGCAAACTATGTTGTTACTCATTTAAAATATTGTTATATAGAGGATATTACTAATATGAGTAGTTTCTCAACACCTACATTGATGAACAGTGTTTTTCTGTTGAAGTGATGTGAATTAAATGAAAAAGTAACCGTTCTTCATTTTTGTAGGCATGAGTCAGAAGATTGCTGGGTTGTTCTAAATTCCGGTAACAGTTACAAGTCATTAGCACTGCATAAACTTAATCTACTCAACTGAAGTTGTGTTTTACACAAGTCAGTGTTCAAGGTTACCACTTAAGATAAACGTAAATAGTCGCTTTGAAATATTGAAAGCCTACAAACGTTTTATATATTTCCCTACTTATCAAATAGACCATTTTGTTCTTGAGGTTTCAGGTTAAGTTCATTATCTAACTCGTAAAACTTCGACTTTATGAACTTAGTATTGATGGATAGTGGCTATCACTGGAATCCAGGATGAGCATTTCATCCTATTTCGGACTCGTCAACTGAATGTATCTGCCTCTCAGTGAGTGATGTTCCCACAGGGATCCGGACTCAGGGTCGATCGCTCCAAATGGCAGAGCGTTGTCCACTACACCACCGAGCCGCGATAGCCACTTCTTGTGCAACGGGTATAGTACGACGGTAAAATACAAGCAATAACACTATATTTATTACTTTATTTGGACTTATTTATTGATTTCAAGTTAGTATTCATCATGGACTTACATCCGTTGGAGAACGATTGAAAATCCCTAAGCACTGAAAAGGTATTTCCTCTTAGTATGAGACCGCTCCTCCTCTTCCTCTCTAGTTACTCAACGACAGCATTGGATGGAGATCACGCTAACTCCCGAACTGAACGAAGTAGGAAAATTTTAACCACTGCGTTCCGACTCAGTGACGCAATACTAACGTGCTAGTTTTGGAACCTGAACGTTCTGAGCTCGATCCCTGGAGGCTGTAGTTACAAGTGACCAATGATGAGGAATTCAGTACCAGGACGAAACATCTGTCCAGTGATTCCAGGTTTTCTATGGTTCTTCATCTAGTATCTTTCATAATGAATAGTATCTTGAACCTTTTGTTTAGATTTCTCCGTTAATTAATGTGCTATAGGGCTGGCTTGTGTGTATCAGTTCAAATTCCATTTTTATCTAGCACAACACTTATAGGAACTGAGTTGGTGTTATTTCCCTTTTTTTAGGGTTCAGGAGTCCCTTCATTAATTAACATCACAATAATAATATAAAGCGAGCAAGCGAAATCTTCGTAAATACTTCTATACCAGGTTACATAAGCCATACACGTGTGCAAAAGCTTCTATTAAGTTTCAGATTACCTGGATTGGGTTAAGTGGCGCTGACATTGAGCTAACAACCCAAAGGTTGGTAACAAAAGGATTGGAAATAACGAGGGACAACTACATCTTAGAGTAATAGGAGACAGATTGAACGGCATGATTCCATTCTAGTTGAATCCATTACCATGACAATTAAACTTGGGTACTGTAGTTGCATGCAATCCAACTGTAGTTTGTTTACCAGATGCATCACAGTGAAACAGTAATATTTGCCGGATTGATGTTCGGTACTTGTAACTTCCCATTGCTTTGCACGATCGAATTGCTCGACCTCTGTTGGCAGATACGGTCCTATGCAAGATGTCTGGATACTGACAGATATTCATGATGTTGCATTGATCTTTGTGACTAGCAGCGGAATCCAGGACGCACGTTTCGTCCTATTTGGGACTCTTCAGTTGGATTTGCTCGTACCACAGTGAGTGGTGTCGCTCCCACTGAGGCTCGAACCCAGCGCTTATAACTTCAAACGTCAAAGCGTTATCCACAGATGCATAGCGACGGGAAGTTACAAATGTCAATCAACCACTGATACCCACTTTGCAAGAGGTGCCTGTCGTGCTCCAGTATCCCAGTAGTTAACGCTTTGGAGTTTGAACCGATGGGTACTGGGCTCGAGTTTCAGTGGGGAAAACATCATTCATTCAGGTGCAGGTACATCCAACTGACGAGTCCCAAATAGGACAAAACACGCGTCACAGATCCCACTGCTAGTCACCATGATCAATACTTTACTGGATTATGTGTCTAACTCAATTTATTGCCAGTATCGTCATATGAAGGTAAGTCTACAGCTTTTAGACATGAATTATGTTGTCTGTCATCATCAGCATCGACATGGGACCAGGCAGTACTCCTCGAAAGTTCAGGTTGTCACATTAAGTGAGAAGGCACTTAGGCAAAGTCAAAGAAATAGAAAAGAAAGCAGTCAAAAGTGATAGGAAGCTGTCATAAGAAAACAACGACTTCACGCAGTGATGCTACATTTTAGTCTGACTGCCCAGAGTTTTTTTCATCCTGGAGCTACTTCAGCTAACATTGTGAGATGAGGCAGATGATGACTGGATGTACGTAACACATGTTCCAGCCACCTTAGTAGATGTAGGTTCATAACTTTATCAACTGACTTGCCTCTTCTCCGTAAAACTCTACGCCTGACTTCTACATTACCAATGTAGTGACATTCAGACACAGGCTCCATGTTACGAAGGCAACGATGGTTGGACAACTGAGGCCTCTTCATGCACTCTGCCTTTAATAGTCAGGTTTCACAGCCATACAACAGAACAGAGCAAGCTGCAGCGCAATTCACTCGGCCTTTGGTAGACCATATAATATATTGATGGTTCCATTGGATGACATAGGTTAGCGAATGCTAGTCGAACCTTTTACATGACTTATGTAGTTCCAATGCTCTTTCTTTATGATGAAAGTAATAGAACATTGCATGTGCCCGAAACAATTACTAATTCATTTCTGTGGCAAGTATTCAAAACTGATTCGATGAATAGAGATTCTTTTATCAATCTCTGCCTTCATAATCCTAAGTTTTAAGAACAACCATCATCTTGTTATGTGTAATTTCGATAATAATTGCGAACGAGTTTTTCTCTCGTTTCCTTACCTTACTGAGGTCAACCAAAGTCGATTTAGCTAACTTGTAGTGCTCGGACAGGCTAATTGATCTTAGTTAACTAAGATAACCTGTTTGACTTTGGAATCACTCTGAGTAATTTGGTAAAGGAAACTATTTTGCTTAATTGTGTCACAAAGAGCGAGTGAGTTTATAAGTTTAAGCGCCTCTTCTAACTCTAGGAATGATTCAGTACCTGATCTGAACACATGCAAATCCTATTACCTTTATCACAAAGAAAGAAATAATTAGCACTACATAAGCCATGTCTCGAAGTTATGGATTTATCTTGATTATGGTGTTATAGACAGTAAATTGAGTTCAAAATATAATCCAATGAATACTACTGTTTTACTGATATAAATGTTTAATATATTAGCTGAAGTGGGACTATTTGAATCCATTTAGGTTCATTTGTACATATTTCATTGCATACAGACCATGTTGCATCTACCTTGAGTTTTTTATTTAAGATTATTTAGGATATACCCGAAGATTCAGGAAATACTCAGCTGATCTGTTGTTAATGTTGATACTGAGTTATTATAATAAAATCGTGTGATGAATGTTTCATACTATTTTCTTTAAATTTTAACAGAGTAATTTCAATGAACTTAGTGTTCTGGCCGACTTCCTCAACGTCTTATTATTGTCACCTCTGTCCGCGTCATCGTCATCTAGTACAGTCTTGATAATAAACGATGGAAAAAAACGAAAGCAATGGTTAGAATTGATCAACCAAATGCGATTAATTTCATCTCGTGCATTTGAACAATATACCTGTCTTGGATTTTTAAAGCAGATTATTCGAAGACCTGGAGGACTGCTTGATCTATCAAATTTCATAACAGGTTTGTCTAGAGTGTTTCATTATAGATCTGTAGTACTTAAATTGTTACTGTCTTTTATGTTCTATATTTGTAGATAATTGATAAGAGCGTCTAGAAATTTTTGCTTTGACTTTGTGGAGGTCTTAGGTCAAGATCATTAGATTTCAACCCAGTGACTCAATTGTAGTGTATTCCCCACGAAACCTAATGATCTTGAGGTAAATTCCTTACGCAGTTATAGATACATACTGTCGAGGAGTAAAACATTGGCAGAAAACATCTTGGTTTTCAGTGGTTTTATCCAGCTGATAAGAACCACTTAGTAGTATTTGTTTCTGTTAACCTGTTGGGTAATTGTTAATTACCATAAAATGTTATTATTCGGGTACTGCTTTGAGCTTAGAGGCTTAAATCTTAACCTAATTTATGAAGATGTTTAATAAGGGTGTCTATCGGAATAAAGCGTTATGCCTTTACATGATAATGAGATTCAAGAGAACAAAGGCTTCAGCGTGAATATAATTGTTGTCGGCGATATCATCCTCAGTAACTGTACAAACGCGCTCAAGCATAGTTATGTGTATAATGATGTGAAGGTTTGTCAATCAGTAATTGTTAGCAGCTTGTGACTATGAAAATAATATCGGAGTGAAAATTACGTAAGGAACATGTAAGTTGATGTTATCGCTCAATGGTAGTCAGGTACATCCAGCTGATGAGTCCTAAATTGGACGAAACGTGGGTCCTGGATTCCACTGTTTGCCTCCAATCAATTAAAGTTTGAAAGTTTAAGAACTAAGAAGGGAAGAAGGACAGGGAATGACAAGATAGCTTCTGGATGCATAATTATGTTTTCGGCTACTGCATTGGTAAAGCTTCAGTAATCAGGGTAAACGTTTTCTCGCACTCTTGGAAAGATTACGTAGTACTCTGTAGACTAGTGCGGACGGATCTTCTGGAACTCAGTGGCCATCTATGAAAGCTTTTCATTTGTCCACTCCACGTAGATTATCGACAAATCGATCTGTTGAGCTTCCCATCATCTCTGCTCGTTGTTAATGCATCAAGGAATGGTATCTTTGAATGTGATTTTCATCGCTCACCAATCGAAAAAAGAATTTAATGCACTCCCTTCGTTCTCGAATCCGGATTATATGAACTCTCGACACTTTAGAAGACAAAATTCATCTTCTTAGATCGATTTTCATCGCAAATGGATACCTAGAGAGATTCCCAGATAAAAATCTCCATAGAAATACTACCATTCAGCCTGCTATCATTGTGGAGAAGAAAAAGCTAATTTTGAGCTTGGAATTCAATGAAGGTGCAGCAGATGAGGTGCTTAGGTTCAGACTACTGATGACTGTCAAAAAAATATTCGATGAAGCCACTCTGCAAATCACCTACACTGGGTAGCCACTTCAGTCTGCATATATCACTTCACCTGCTCCTGCGAAGCTAAGTACATAGGTCGTACCCCACTACCTTCCAACATGGCTCAGGAGCTCCATATTGCAATATTTGGCTGTCAGCTGTCACACACAGTTCCAGAAGATTTGTTTGCACTAGACTACAAAGTACAAATTAATCTTCCTAACAGTGTGAGGGAACATCTACCATGGCTTGGTAAAGCTCTAGCAATACGGCGGTCGAAATTGGAATTGCGTATCAAGAGGCGACTTCACATTCCTTGTTCTCATTCACTTAATCCTTAAACTTTCCAGTTCTGAAATCTAACTAGTCCTCTTCATTTCATATTGTGATTGCGAAAACGAACAAAATCTCATTCACTTGGCAACGATAACTGTCGAGTCACTTTGTTACCATTTCCTTACTTGATTTCAAATCACGTTTACTCATATTGTCGAATAACTTCATGTTTCTTACGTGATTTCCGTTCCTATGCTATTTTGATGATCAAAAACTACTAACAATAATTGATTAACAAATAATGATATTTTTTTAACATACACTAGTTATATTTAGATGGGATTGTACAGCTGTAGAGAATGATGTTGCCGAAATCAAATTTTTTTATTTTTAACTGAAGGGGAACATTTAGATAATTCGGTTGGAAAGCGATTTCGTGACTCATTCCTCGCATAATCATGTTAGGATTTGATTATTAATGTAACTATTTTCGATTATAAATACTGGGACGTTTTTCTAGCCTCTAAAGAAATACTTTAGAGAAAGTCTACAGAAACTGTTCAACTGTAATGAGAACAGAATATACAATTATTGTAAAGTATTCATCTTCACTATAAGTTTAGTGTAGCCGGGAAGTTGTGTGCATAAAAATCATAATCCAAATTATATCCAACACGTTATCCAGTGAATAATACTGTTTCACTGTGTGACACATTTAGCAAACGGACTAAAATCGAACCATTGAAATTTCTACTGGTAAACATTCTCCTTTTAAGCATATAGGTATGCGATGTTTTGTACTTGATATTACGCCTTCTTCGCTTAGTAATCATCAATTTGCTATCTTTATCATTGCTGTTCTATTCAGACATCGCCATATATACTATTGATGAATATTCTTATCAGTAGCCTTTATCAAATTTTACTCCGTAACACGCAGCAAATTCAGTGAATTTGATAACGGTCGCCTTTCATTGGTTATTGATTTCCACCATCAGTATTTGACTATAGTCAACTATAGACTGAGGGGAAAAAAACGTTTTTTAAAACACTCTTCGTGCTACACCTAAAACAACTTCTATCATGCCAAAATTTGAGCTGTTTTTCCTCAGACTACTAGTCAGATGTTCAATTGACTTGACAGTTAATCACTTTTTAAACTCAGTTGATGGTTTATGGAAACTGATCGAATAAAAGACTGTTTTCGTCATGGGCTAACATCAAATGAAGAACCACTGAAAACCTGGAAACACTGAATAGCTGTTTCATCTATTTCTCAGCCATCCACACTCATAACCCTGCCAGGAATAAAACTCAGGATAGTCAGATTTTTAGGTAAGCAATTTTGCATTCAGCCACTGTGTCAGAATCCAATGTTCTAAATATTTCTACTTCTATTTTGAGGTTGGTTTTACCGACTTATAATATGATAGCACGTCCATCGTCCAAAGTCATCGAAAAGTATTTGTCGTCATATCCAACTTTGTTGACTCCAGGGGTGACGGTTTCTTATTAGAACTTCGGAAACTTCATTTCAAAAAGTATCAGTAATGAGCACTAGACAGTTATTCCAGTCTGAGGGCCTGAGATGGTGGTTTTGGTGTATCACGAATAGAAAGTAGGAAAAGGTTGAACCATTGGATTCCGATCCAGTGGTTAAGTGTCAGCATGCCTGCCTCGAGACTTGACAGTCGTGTGTTGAGTCCTTCACGACATTGTGGGTGCACACTGTTGAGGAGTTTCAGCGTAGGACGAAATAGATGTTAAGTGCTTCTAGGGTTTTCAATGGTTCTTTAACTAATTTCAGTTCTTAATGAACACAACGTTGAAATTAATATTTTGAATTGTATTGGTCATCTTTGTTCTGATAATAGCGAAGATTTGTAGCTGAGGTTGAGGATGTTCGATGTTCTCCTAGCTTTAAACGTTTTGGGGAGGGTGTTTAATCAGCAGGCTAAGTGACTTCCTAATGAAGAAAATGGTAATGAATTCGCTATACCTGAAGATGATACGTCAAGAAAAAGCCTCAAAGCTTGGAGCACATCAAGCAACTGTCATAAGTGGTATCTGTTATTGAAATGTCATTTGTTTAGTTGTTTTTCTCATTGAATTTTGTTGTTGCGTTATCTCTCTTCAGAACTACTGAATCGCTTATTGGTTGGTTCCCAGTCACACAATTGGAGCGAATCAGAATTGTACTCTTACGAAATAGCCATACGTCATTTAAGTCATCAAATATGGATTGAATCAGCTACAATTAATGATTTAACCGCTGAACACTCTAAAAAAACCGAGAATATGAGTATAAACAATTTCCTGGAAGCATGGATTTATCGTATACAAGAAACCTATCGCCTTGTGATTGACCAATGGACTGACAAGATGGATCAATTTCAAAATAGTTTACACGTTATTGTAATTGATCAGTGGTGTGATTATACTACCAATTGTATTAATGAATTTAAATCATCTGAAATGTGAGTGAGACTAGATTACTACTGCTGCCGGTTATTTCTTTGAAATTAAAATTATGGTCTCTTTTTCTCTGATTCTCCTTCTTTGTCCCTTTTGTGCATTTTATCTGTTGCCAAAAATAGTTTTTTTTATATCACAGATTGGCATAGGCTGAAGAACTACTAAAAAACCTAGGAGAACTAGATGGCTGTTTCACCCTGACATGAGATTTGTCAGTAGCGCGCATTTCTAACCCGTTTAACAGTTCTCTGGCTCAACCATGTAGTTTGAAATATTATAACACTGAATGGTCTAGTTTAGGACATGTCAGACCTTACTAATTTTTTTTGCCTAAGGCTTTCTTGTCTTATAATGAATCAGTTGGCAATTGCTAAACTGATTAATCGAGAAAAGCATGATGCTCAAATTGTTTTATCATAAAAAACAAGCTTATTTTTAATATTGAAAATAAGATGCCCTTCACGGAGGTGGGTGGTAATTTGAATTTTCGTTGATTTGTGAGAATGTGATGCTCATTTCTGCGCATGATTGGGAATGAGAGATTATTAAACAGGTGTATTGATCCATCTTCAAAATCTGCTAGAGAATAGAAACACGATTTTACCTTTTTTTTAGCATTGTTCGTTGATTGGACAGTGAAGAATAATCGATTTCATGTAGTCTAGTCTTGAGTACTAGTCGGCTGCTATCGATTATTTTACAATAAGGCGACTAAGCTACGAGATTCACCATCACGGTGCTCTATTATAGATGTAAGTTAGTTGGATGCAATCAGGACTGAGTGATACAGGTTCGAATCGCTAAGTGAACATTAGTTTCTCATGGCTTCAGGTACGCCTTACTGATGAGAACTAACAAACACGAAACCTAGGTCTATGACTTCCTGCCGGTTGGCTTCCGACATTTAACATCTGAAAGCATTGTTCCTCAGTGTCGCATCACTTAAATTATTGACCACATTGAAAACTTGATCGACTGAATTTAATCAGTGTTATACCCATCAACAGAAGACAATGAGGGTTGTCTGACGATCCAAGTTGCTACACTTCAGTTCAGAACATCAAGTTGAAAGTCAACTGAAAGGAAGGAAGGAGCTATGGAAATAGTAACGTCATCGTTAGATGCCGCACGAAAAATAGAATAATGAAGTATGATGCTACGATTTCAATGAAGATGAAATGTTGATGTTCTTGCGCCACCGTAATCTGTTTTGAACCTCATAACCAAGCGTCTTCAACTATCGGTTTCAATGATCTCACTTAGATCAACTAGAAAGTCTGCCACAAGGATCATTTATGATGTGTAAGGATTTTATCAGTAGGCCGTATTTATACATCGGCATTAGGATGGACCTGTAACCCATTTATAAATATTGTACAGACAAACACACTGGCCACTTCAGAGTCATATTTACATATATATAACAATAACCCCTCTGAAGATCCACCTATGGAAAAACTTAATGACTTTTACTTCCTCTAAAAAGTCAAATTAAATCTTATTCTCGATATCATCTGAGCGAAAAATTACTCTACCGTCAATAATTCAATAATTTCATTCAATCATTTAATCACTAGTAATAAAGGAATAAAATCTAGTTGCTTCATGGATTCATGAAACATCTGGTTCTAGTCATCATTGGTCAGAATGAATAACACGCATTCCACGCACCGTGGTTTTTGAAAGTTTCTGCTCTGATCAGCTGATCCACCTCCCTTATCTGATATTCTATGCTTGATATCTGTTTTACCCATATGGTGTTCCTGCTACAGGAGAGTGATACTGAGCAAATACTTGGGGTCCGGTCATATCCTCCATCTTTGATAGCTGTTTCAGAACCAAAGGGTAAGACGGAACATAGTGCTGCACAGTACACTCAATACTTAATAGACATTTGATTATCTCACCGGTTAGGAACGTATCCCTTTTTAGTGCCCAAGTAGATAGTAAAGCGATCGATACTGAGCTCTGTTATCACGCTTTCTCGTACTATCCACAACTACCTTCTGAGCGTACTAAGAGAGCACTAATACATTAATACATAGTGGAATAACTCCACGTGTTGTTAGAAGACAGATGATAGAGAGATACAGATTTATTCTAACCCAAAAGCACAGATCGTTCACATGACTAAAATTTCCGCTAATGAATATATTCACAAACTAGGATTATTCATCCCATTTATACAAGCCTAAGAACTTTTTCTATACTTTGATCAGTTGATCATACCAAAAGTATGCGAACCAAGTTAACAATACCTCTATTCACTGAAACAAAAGATGAGACAATCCTGGAGATGCTTCGCATTTGTCTGATTTGTTTCCTAACACGCAGACACTCATATTTTTGTACAGTGTTTAGAACAGCACCATGTTGTACGAATTTTCAACGTTGAACTGGGGATTTTTGAGAGGAAGATAAATCTTTTTCATGTCAAAGATCGATAGTGTAACTTTCAAAAGAACATCTCTCTTTTCCATAAATTCATTTGCCAGTTTAATTTACTATTGTTAGCATTTCGATTCAAAGCAACTATGAACTTGGAGTTTTTTAAGCTCTAATTTGATAGGAGGTTGGTGAATAACATTCACTAGTGAACTTTCACTTTGAACTGTCAATAGGAGCTCATGATTTAAGTGTGATTGGGTAAAATCTCGCCTCGACAACGATTAGTTAGAACAGTGCCATGTGACAATCAGACTATTTTCTTCTTCACCTCGCATCTATGGCTATTTTAAGTTTTGGTCTTACTAGTGTACACGGAATATGATTCTTGCAAAGTCTAAGTGTCTGTCACATAAATCCATGTTTGGTTAAATAACCAGAGCGATTTAAATAACGATTACTCACTCCCCTTGCGTACTAGATGCTGAAATACACCGACTAACTGTATGTATTTAAAATTACCACTATCTCTAGAGCCTATGAATTCTTGATGATCCATACTTTTACGCTGACTGGGCTTAACAATTAAGGTGCTTAACTAAACTGATTTAAGCTTCTTACCATGAGGTACTGGATACACTTAAGCGCACAGGGCCAACGATAAATCTTTCGCCAGAAGTCACGGTCTTAAGCAAATTGAATAAGAAAATATGGTTCTTATGATAAATGATCAGTTTGATGGATGGGAATACTCCCATTTCCAAGAAGTCAATAATGTTCTAGGAGGAAACGGGATATAAGAGAAAAAATAACCTTTGGCAGCATGCGAAAAATCAAATTTCATGGTTCAGCTGTTATTAATACTATCAGTAAACCATTCAGATAGTTTGAAGTCGAATGCTTATAGATCTCAGCTCAGACATTTGAATTTCGCTGACCAAACAGTTAACAACACATCATGCAACCAAATGCCTAGTGCGTTTTTGACATACTTGAAAAGTGTGATAGCCATGGTTTGATGGACTTGAATTATTGATACTGAGTAATGATTGAAAGTGGAATGAAAATCTGGGTCGCAGCAGAGCTAAGAATAGGCCTCCAGGTCACCTTTTCACTGCTCTACAAACTGGGGTACGAGACCCACTTTGAACATTTAATGTTTGCGCCTGACCACTATATGAATACATGATACTTGACTGTCCATTCATCATATTCACACTGGCCACCCATTCACCCCTTGTAATCCAGTCCAAACTGAGCTGAATAGATTAGTGACCTTAAAGACCGCCGTAGCAACCACTGAGGTAACCAATCAGGTATCAGTATTTAAGCTGGGAAGGTAGTTTTTCATAAAATGGAGAAACGCGATTGTTTATCTCAGCAGTTGTTGAAGTGACTTCTAAAGTCATATGAATTAGAGAGGAAGAGAGTTATATTGATTGTCAGCTTAACTATCTGAGATAACCATGGTTCGGAAGTGACTGTTTTTAATTCCAATCAAAACACTCAACTACATAATGTACATTTTATTGTATGGCTTTTGTGTTTATGGAGTGACTTTAAAGGCCGCCGTATCAACTACCGAATTGACTAATCAAGCATCAGTATTTTGCCTGGGAAAGCTTTTTTCCATAAAATAAAGTAATCTAATTGGTTGTCTCATCAGTTGCGATGGTGGTCTTTAAAATCCTCCCTTTTCTGATATATTAAGTAATTTAACCTTGTCATGTCTGTATTTTCATTTCAGTCTGCCTGCCTGTCTGAAAAAACATAGTGATGTTGGACAGCTTATTTCTCTTCTTCAAATAACCAACTGGTTTTATTTTCAGCTTAATTTAATCATTCGAAAATTCATACCTGTAAGCAAACGAATTTAATTGAACTTCGGGGTTTGAGGGGATTTAGAGATTTTCTCAAATTGGTATTCATCATGAACTGACGTCAGTTGGAAGAACATCTGAAACCTGTGGGTACTGGACAGCTGTTTCGTCCTAGTGTAGGGTTCTTCAGCAGTGCGCACCCACGACCCCGCCAGGGATAGAACCTGCGACTTCAGGTTCCATGACCAGCACGTTATCACTAAGCCGCTGTGTCGGAATCCAGTGATCCATATTTCCTACTTCTGTCAGTTCACGACATAGCGCGACCGCCATCCACCTTAGTGGGGTCGTGGGTGAGCACTACTGAGGAGTCCCGTACTGGGATGAAACAGCTATCCAGCACTCCCGGGTTTCCAATGTTCCTCCAATTAATGTCAGTCCATGATGAATACCAACTTGAAAAAAGTGAATTTTACCCAATTTCCAAAGAACGACGATTTCTTATTCTAATTTCGATTAAAGTCACCGCTAATATTTCGTTTTCCTATCGATGGATTGCTTTTATTAGCATTTTATATGCACTAGTTAGGTGACAATAATTTTGTGCTATAAGTCGTTCGTAGCTAAATTACCACTAAACTTCTCTCAGGACGTGGTCAATCATGTCTGATTTTGAGATTTATCAATATTTCGCACATTTAGGGTTTGTGCCTGACCACTATGTGAATACATGATACTAGACTGTCCATTCATTGTGTTCACACTGGCGACCAAAGTTGACCTGTGAACTACTTAGTTTAATTTCAAGAGCAGACATTTCAGTCTCATTTGAACAGAAATGCAGTATTATGCCGTCTCTTAAAATATGTTGCCTGTCTTCACTACTCAGGTGTATTATGTTTAATGATCCAAACTGCTTATGGATGCTAACAATCAGTTCCAGGGGAGCTTGATATTTTCTCATTAGTTAAATCATACTGAATGAGGGTTATTAATTTTATTAGTTCATATTTACGACCACCGAAATGAATTACGAATCTGAAGTTGGATTGTTGGTATCAACTACCAGTAAACGTCTACGATTTTAAGCGAAAAATCACCTATGACGTTTGAGTTTGTACGTCCTATCAGCTTGGTTTATCCCATCATTCAGTAAACAGTATGGTTGGAAATATTCGTAGCTCAGGTGGATGATCTTGGTTACATTGCGTTCTCTGAGCTGGATGGTTTGATAGATCATTCCTATTTAAAACTCCTAGCTCTCTGAGGCAATCAAAATCGACAGGTACTCTCAATATGGTATCTTTTATTGTGTGTATCGGTTCATATGTGTCTACTGCAGCAGTTACATTGGAATAACAGAAAAAAGGACATTTTTCCAATGTTTTGAGCATATCCCGAAGAGCTTACGCTTGAAAGATGCAAGTATGGAAATTGTTTGTTATTCTTCAACCTTTGGGGTTTGTTCTTGGACGGTTCATCACCAGACTTGGTGATTTCATCAGTGTTCACCTAATAAAAAAGAACTAAAAATAGCCTAGTTTAAGGAAATGTATAAAAGTTGAGAAATAAAGCATGGTTATCTCATAGAGGAGATTTCTCGAAGGATTGAAACATAAAGTTCTATTTTAGGTCATGATGAATGAAATGGCTGCGCATATTTTTTTCCTCAATACATTGTTAGTATTTGAAGCTGTAGGTTAAACAGCATTATCATTTGAATATCTGAGATAGCCGTAGTTTGGCAGACTAGTATTTATACTGGGTTATGATTGAAGGTGAAATGAAAATTTGGACCTCAGTCGGATTCGAACCAGCGACTGCCGGGTGAAGGATGTTTGAACAACATCCTAGAAAACTTTTTTCATTTCAAACTTTCATGAATTTAACAATGGATAATCCTATTACTGATTGTTAGTGTTGTTTATTTTGTTAGTTTCCAGAATGAACACTCTTCTACTCCCTCTTCTTATTCCTCATCTATGCACGATCATCAACACTCACAAGAAAGACAACAGCAACAAATCAATGAGGCTTCCAAGAAAAAAAATCATTTTGCCTTACTTTGGTCTTTGTTGTGTGATGCAGAAATGATTCAAGAGAAATGTAGTATTCATCTAGAAAAATGTTCTTCAAAAGGTATGCGATTTATGCAGATTTTACGGGAACTGAAACAGCATTTGAATGAGCATATTAAAGTGTTCGCCTCATCATCATCATCATCTGCTGTTCCACAGTCTACACCTTTTGATATTAATAGTGCTAATATATCACATCTTGTACAACAACTGGAGTATAGTCTACATTCTCTTCCTGGTCACTATCGTATATTCTGGTTGGAATTGCCTACTGACACTGGGATTATCACACACCAATCTGATCAACTACGTGTAACTCTACAAGATTTGAGATATCTACACAACTTATGTGAACGTAACTGTATGCTGTGTAAGCAATCTTTAAGTCTGTTACACAAGTTAAGCCTATCCAGCTTAGATCAACATGGATCAGAAGTTGTAAAGAACATGCTTCAATTGTTGAATACATGGAACTATGGTTACTTTATTATTCGTCAATCATTGGAACGTGTTATTCGAGCTGGAGAAGTTGTTGAGTCTGAAAGATATCCATTGAGAACACTTAATGCCAGTGAATTACGTTCAGAAGCAGTAAGTTATTATGATTAGCATTATATTATCCTTAAATAAATGCTGATTGCAAAAATCTACGGCACCTTTCCTCAAACGACTCTGGCATCACTAGTGAAGTCGAAAGGATGGCAATTCGACCATAATCGTCGATTTTCTGTTCAACAACTGAATTACTGAATGTGAATTTTAGCCTTGTTTATCTACCTTCTTTTTGATTAGTGACTTCCTTGCCTAATTGTCTTGTATTTCTCTACTTTTCACTCTTTACACAGAGCTAACTGATTGATAGTCAAGTTGTTGTCTTATTTTACTGCTTACTGACTACTGAGCATTAGATGAAGGATCTTAGACAACAAGGCATTATGTTTCATTGAACACAATGAATGAGACAGTGAATGTCTATAAGCTTTAATAGTTGTTGATTTCTACCACCAGTTCCAATGCTCACAAACGAACGTCATACAGGATAATTGTGTATATGGATGACCACATTTTGGAGGTTCATATAGAGCGTTATAAAGTATTAGGTACTATTTATCATAAATGGATTGTTTGCGAAATTCTGAGCATTCAACGATTTGGTGATTGGAGTCACTGTGTTCAAGCACAAAAATATTCACAAAGCGACATGGATTTCACCAGATGGATACATTAAAAATCAGATCGACTTCACCTCAATCTCAAGAAAGTGGAGAGACAGCCCACTTGACACAAGGTCAAGAAGGGGAGCAGATGTAGGCTCAGACCATTATCTAGTGCAAGGAACCTTCCAAATCATGTTGAAAGCCATGAAGAAAGTTGATGATAGACCACAGTTCAAGTTCAATACCCAGAAGAGAAACTGAAGGATGTAACTACAAAGGAAATCTTCAAGTCAAGAAGGGAGACCTCAGTCTTTGCAAGAACTGCCGCGGAGTCATGCTTCTTTCCACCCGATGCAAGCAAAATATTAAACTGCATCATCTTGGAGAGACAAAAGGATGCGCTGGATTCAAAACTACGACCCGAACAGGCTCGATTCAGGAAGTACAAATCATGTGCGGATCAAATTGCAACGCTTCGCATCATCATAGAACAGAGTATAGAATGGCAGCCAACTCAGCTCCAACTCGACTTGATCGACTTTGAAAAGGCCCTTGACAGCGTCGACCGAGAAGTAGTTTGGCAGTTGCTTCAACACTACGGAATACCATAAACCTTTATCAATCTCATTCAACAACTATATGAAGACGTCACATGCCAAGTAATTCACAATGGGAAGCTCAGTGACGCCTTTGAAGTGAAGACGGCAGTAAAACATGGCTGCCGCTTACAATCAATCATGATATTCCTGATTGTAGTGCTCTGGATCATACAACAAAGTGTGAGGAGCGAGAGGAAGGTAATACGCTGGACCGGTGGAAAGACCCCAGAATATTTGAATTTCGCCGATGACTTGTGTCTGATGTCACACAAACTCGAAGATCTGCAGGCGAAAACTAACAAGTTGACAGAAGAGGCAGGGCAGGGCAACGAAAACAGGACTTCAAGTGGACGTAGAGAAGACAGAGCTGATGAAGATACCCAACCAACGCTACCAAAAACAACAAACACTAATCACCACCAACGGGAGAAACTTGAAGGAAGTAGCCTCTTTCACTTATCTAGGCAGCACTGTTTCAACTACAGGCAACACAGGCACAGACGAAGACGTCAAAGCCAGCCAGGATCGGAAATACAGCAAGACAGGCGTGCATCAACCTGAAACCAGTGTGGATATTTGCACTCACGATAAAGCTTGAAGGAGATCCGGATTTTGAACACTAAGTTAGTCAAGTAGATCAGTGCTTCTGTGATGATTGAGAGACTTGGCGCATTACGAGAGGTATTTGCAACAAACTACAGATATTCATCAACACGTACTATCTACGCTCAGTGGTTGTTGAGGCTCAGATGGCCAGAATAATGAGAATAAGCGAGAAGGAAGTCACTGTGGCTGTCAACGAACGAACGAAGCAAGAAGCTATCGGTGAATAAATATGCAGTGGAAGGAAGTGGAGACGGATGGGGTATGTAGTGAGGCGACTGATGTGGGGCGTCACGCACCAGTCGATGCAGTGGAGTGGGAGGCAGATGTGAAAGAGTGAGTTGAGAGTCTGAGGTGAGGGTGACATAGAGGAGACGGTGTGTGGATGAAATGAGAAGTTGTGGGCTGTTGTGGAGCGATGTTGAAAAGATTGCAGAGAATGGAGTGTAATGGATACGTGTTATCGAAGCCCTATGTTACATTAGGAACCCAAGGGACAAATAATAATAATAATAATAATAATAATAATAATAAAGCATATGAAAAGTAGAATTTATTCTATTGTAACATAACCCTACACAAAAGAGAAATACTGACGCAACTGAAATACTCTATAAGGATAGTGTCATTTTACCATATGAAAAGCCTTTTACTTACCTGGACAAATGTTCCATTTGTTTTGCAGTGAAAAAGTTTTACCCACAAATTTGCGCCGCAAAAGTCTCAGTTTGTTTGCAGTTCATGTATAGTCCGCCTAGATTGATGACAAGTGAACAGTTGCATACTGTTCAGATGTTTTCATAGCATTGGTTGCATGTGTTGGAATAACCATGTGAATCATGTCAAGGTTAGGCGTAGTATACTGAGAAAGGTAGGCAAGTCAACTGAAGTTATGCGCCTTTACTTACTGAGTTGGATTGGGTTTGAAAGATGGCTGAAATAACCGGGCCTCGAATTCTCTGACTGTTAGTATAAGGCACATAGGAAGGTGAAGACTTCTTAGCTGAGGTCCTCAAGACGATAGAAATCAATGGTTATAAACTCGTGGTGATATGGCACTAAAGCAGATCATAGTGGCTGAGACAGATGCACTCTTTTTCACTATCAAAGTCTTGATTATTTTCATTAACCTTCTACTTATTCTCTCAGCTCTCATTCACTTTCGTGTACCTTAATATCGTTTTCTCCTAACCGCCTTTTATTGGTATGCTGTTGTGAAATGTAGTAACTTGAACCAATGCGTTCCTCTGTGAGGTTCCATGTCGAATTTTCTGTCTTTTTGTCGTTATCACTCACTCACTCACTCACTCACTCACTCACTCACTCACTCACTCACTCACTCACTCACTCACTCACTCACTCAAAACAGTTACGCAATACGCTACATAATTGAAGTCGGATTCAAACCTATTTAATGGTTGGATTACCACTTCTTTTAATATCAGTAGGATTATTTCTCAATGAATAGTAGTGTGTCATGTTTGAAGTGGCTTAGTGAACAGCAAACTAACTTTCTATGGACAGCCATCAAAGATTACAAAGTAGAGCACAATCAAGATTGGCTGCTTCTTGTGAAATCATATTAATTTCTATCAGTATGCAGATAACTGTCGTCATTATCATTCTCTTAGTAACTAGAAACGCTATTGAACGTTGCATGAAAGACTGTGAGTTATTCGTTTTTAGAATTTTAATGGTATGGATTTTACACCAAAGGCATCGATACTTCATTTTCTTGTGGTTAGTGCCCTAATGGAGGTCACCTCAAAGCTGTGGCTTATTGGCCTCAGCAATTGATTCGCAACTAATAGGTCAAGGGTTTGAATCCCTGCTCATCCATCTAGGTTTGGTAGCCAGGTGGTATCATTAACCCTTAAGTGACAGGTATCACTTAGTAACTACTGCGCAAGCTTGCATATAGTTGATGAGTGCGTTTCTGTTTTACCTTTTTAGTGATCTGGTGTATTGTCGGACCCTTGGGTTAGGGGTCACAAATTTACATACACAAAACAGTTTTTTTTTATAAAGAAATCAAGACTTTATTAGTTAGATTTTATTATGAATTTATGTAACCCACTGAAAAGTAGTCTAAGGAGAACGATGAATTATTACTTTTCATAGTGTTTGTTCAGAATATAAGGCATAAAATAGATTAAACCCAAACAAAATTTTGTTAACGTCACTTAATTTATCCAGGTGTTCCATTCACAGGACTGAATTGATATATCTCTGTTGATATATCTATCCCTTTTACGGATACTTCTTTATAGACTTCAAACATATATTGGTTATTTTGGTAGTGAAATCCAGGGTTTTCAAGGTAGGATACGTCAGGAATTGATATCAGTTACAGAACAATTAAGAGTTTGAGAGCACTGGATATTTATTTTGTCCTAGTAGGATTCTCCTCCACAGTGCGTACCCATGGTCTCGCCAGGGGTGGAACCCAGAATCGCTAGCGCAGCACGTCGCTGAACTATTCTGGTAGATGATGTTTTGATGTTAAGAACAATGTGTGTTGAGACTCTTGATAACATGTCTGAAAATCAGCTAAAAAGCCTCAGAAGTCTTGATTTACTCTTTGACATCATCAAAGGTTTGAACATTTTCACCAACCTTCATTTATTTATTATATTTCCTTCTATACAGTTTTGTCGAATTAACTCGCATTCTTCTTCGATTCACTTTTTGTTGTTGCTCGCATTCCGTTGTAAAGTGTAGCATTTTGAAACAACGCACTTCTGGATGAGACTCTACGTTGATTTTGTCTGCGTTTAATCTTTTCAAATATGTTAAATACTAAGTGAAACATTCAAGGGAAAAAGATCAATGGGATTATAACTTATTAAAAGTTTTTCTAGTGACATTTACATGATAGTGTTGGTATATTTGGAAACTAAATAATGTTAGTCGTTTTCATCTGTATTCGTCTTGTGTCTTATATACATTCGTGTTTCTGAATACTATAACCTGGTCTTGATTTATTGAAGAGGGTTTCTCAAACCTGATAATTATTATCACTATCCCAACTTCATTAGAGCGACTCCTCTAAATAGCAACCAATGGAATTCCAACTGACGGAAGTTACTTATTAAATTAGTCGCTGTTTGTTCTGCTTCTCTTAGATTAATTGACTCCATTTGTCGGTACTATATGCACTTTCCGTATGTTTTCAACAAAATACTCGTATTCTCATCACATTCCAAGTTAGCGGTTCTGCAAGATAAGTAATACAAGCTAAAGTGTTACGGATATATAAGGAAGCAAAATCCGTAATCATATCTTTGTTCCTCACGAAGAAATAGGATATCCCTATCTTGAAGAAGTCTTTGGTTAACAACAACTGTAGTGTATAAAAATTCATCAGAATTATCGTATGGAAGATATAAGCAAATCGAATGAGTATCTCGTAAAAACAAGTAATATGTTTTGGTCTACACTTAAACAAATAAACAAGGTATTGTATTTGAATTCACCGGTTCAAGTATTAGGTTCTCTGACCCGTGCATGCGAATCCAATTCCACCTATTAAGGTGGTATAACAGCCTACATATGATAGGTGCGGTTTACTGCTCAGTGCACTAAGTCATACATGGGGTGCTTTCAGTTTTGATCGTTCTTAGTTAAAATCTTTATCCGTGTTCCTGGATCAATTTAGATTAGATAGCTTTTGTGCGCTAAGGTTCTACGTTGATTTTGTATATTTGTGTTCGTCTATTGATTAGTAGTTTCTAAGATTGTAACCTATGATTATAAAGTTATCTTTTTCTCCCTTGATTTATCTTTGTTTTCTATCTCTTCTATATTTAGATTCAAATGCTAAAACAGAAACAAGCTTTTATTGAAGCAGTACAATTCGGTTTAGAGACTATACGATTACAGATGAAATCAACATCAATCAAATTGCATGAATATGATTCAACTTCTAAAGTGATCAACCTCAAGACTAAGTATCAAACTTTACTTGAACTTCTAAAAACTTTATATCATAATATATTAGATGATGATAGATTGAAAACAACTAGAACAAATGAAATCCCTGATAATGATTTCAATTGTCTAGTGATTGTTAGAACAAATCAAGCTATTGAATTATGTCAATTATGTCGAAAAATTGATCAAACTAATTGGATTATTTCATGGAAAGGTTTCAATGAATTCACAAATGAAGCAACTATAAACGAGCAAGGGAATTCAAAACGATGGATTATGTATTTTTTGCATCATTTATATACTTTTTCATCAAGAATAAACTTGGATGAAATGTACTTATGTCAGATAAATCAATTGGAAACGACTATGCATGAATGGTCAGAATGGATAAAAAAGGTTAGCATTATTCTTAATTGTGATATTTGTTTTTGTTTCTATGCAGTTCACTCGATTCTTAACTCTGAACCTGTTAATATTATAGTCACGCTATATTACGAACTGATAGAAGTAGAAAACTGTGGACCATTGGATTTCGACCCATTTGGCTGAATCATTAGCCCGTTCATTGCGAGAACTGAAGGTCTCAAGTTAGGTCTATGGCGGTGTCGTGAGTGTGTGCTACTGAGGACTCTCATACTAGGATAAGGCATATGTCCAGTGTTCCCAGTTTTTCAATGGTTCTCTAACTGGTGTCAGTCTGTGATGAATAGTACCTTGAAATAATCACTTCCTTTATGCTTAGTGTTGAGATAGGGAGGCGATCATCTGCTCTATTAGTAGTACATTAAAAATTTACGTGAATTAAGAGTCGTGCAATTCGATAATTAATGTTAAAGTAAGCTTGAACATTATAGGGTTTTTATGAGTGCTTATAAGAACTTAAATTATGTTCATTGTTTCCTGCTTTTCATTTTCCAGGAATATACTAACTGAAATTTATCTATATAAATACTAGAGTGGCTGGTTAATGCTACCTGAAGATAATTCACTAATGTCTTTCCAATGTAATGTAAGGAGGTCTTTTGTGATTACTTCAGGCTGAATGAAAATAGATTTAAAAACAAGGTGGAAACCACAGAAATTATCATACGTCATATCATACTTCATCAATCATTGGTATTATTTCTTAACAGTAACCAAATGGTTCAGAAGAATTTTTCAGTTGGTTCACATGTGTTGGAGAAAGCTAAAGATGAAATATTTTCAGTCCTGAAATGACTGCAACTCACTAGCTTTTTGCATATCTGTGTTAGGCAAACAAGCAGATATATCAAAGCTAACAACACTACTTGATTGTGGGAAACATGCTAGATATAGGGGGTGATTGCAAATTGGACCCGTTTTCTGGAGATGGACGACCTTCAGGATTGATCTACAGTTTATAGCAGTAAATCATGTGTAAATTTTAATAAAACCTTTCAGACTGTTGATACATTTTTTAATTGATTGAGTAATGGAATCCAAACCTTATCACTTGAGTACGCCTTGTTGCGTAGACCTAGGAATAACTATATGTCGTCGTATGCACAAGATGTTGATGAACTGACAACAGTACACTTCTGACAAAACCGAAGTAGGTACTTTGATTGGTCATTCGAAGATAAATAATTTCTTAATGTTAGATTCTAAGTTCTTACTGAATTCTATTTTGAAATGTACCCACCAAGCTAGTAGACTCACCACCCTACTTCACTGATGCTATTTGGATGGAGGCGATAGGCAGGAAGGTTTGGATGTAGGTTTTGTGCTTGTTATAGGAAAGGTGTATCAATAACCTCAAGGGAACTGATGTTCGCTGATTGACTCGAGCTCATATCACCTAGTGCTGCTATTAGATATATTAATACTGAACTATTCAGGTCACGATCAATCCCCTTTGGGACTGTATTACTCATTGAACAGTAGTCGGTTTCATGTTGTTTAGTCTGGTCTAATTATTTCTATTCAAGGCTAAACTTGGTTTTTGGGTTTCTTCAGAAATTGCATCAATATGTATCTTTTCTAAACACAAAATATGGTTTTCAGAATACTCAGCATACCTGGGTTTTCAGATGGTCATGAAAGAAAATAAACCGAAATAGAAGCTTTGAGTAACCAGTAACGATTTCCATATGACTTCCATGTTTTCTTACAAGTAAAAATATTGGTCTTCGTCTTAATGATTAAACTCTAACTGTGGAACGAGCCAATAAAATGGAAAGACACTTCCTACTGTTCGTTTGTTGGTTAGAGGCAATCACAAGGAAGCTAAGTTTCTCTTCTCAGCATCGTGCATTTGGACTCTTGGAGAGAGACTGATATCACCCCTGAGATTCGAACCTGTATCGCCCACCGAAGTAGTTAGCGACGTTACCACTGAGCTATTCTAACACCTGTAATGTGTTTGCATAACAGTTAGATTCGAGACCAGTGATTTCATGTTGAAGAACTTATCAGAGAAGGCATCTTCTTATAAGATTTCTGTCTCCTAAGGTGATAAAGCAAACCATGAAAATAAAATAGAAGCAGTATTGTGTTGTCAAGAGTAAATAAATTTTCTAAAGCTTCGCTTTTCAAATCATATGGTTATGATTGTGTTCGGAGTAAGATTTGAATGAGTTTCCTATGGAATTCTCCAATACAAAGCAGTCAGACACATCACATCACAACTTCGAATGAATGATTTCCAATGAGTATGTTGAAATGATGTTCAACAGTCTCACTTCTGACATATCTACTGTTACTTATTTCCAGCCAAGTGTGTGTTCTTTAACCCATTTTGAAAGAAAGTGCATTCAAAATTCAATATACGCATTTCCATAGTACTGATATACACATATCAAAGTAGTTATATATGAAAGATTGTTCTTAAGTATACAGAAAAGTATGGAAAAAATGAGATAAGACTCATTGTATTGTGCCTCCCCACGGAAATCTTTAGTAAAAGGCGAAAGATTTATCCGCAAATGAGGAGACACCAGAAAAGTATGACTTTGAAGGTTGCGATGTGGATATTCTTTAACAGCGAGTTGGAAATCTCTTTAAGGACATCAGATAAAGAGTTGTCTTCGAAGTATGTGTTCAAGTCAAGTATCTGCAGATTGGGAGACTACCTTCTTTTTATTGGTTTAAATCTTTGTGGATAACTATTTTCAGCTTAGATGTTTGTGAGAAGAATGACCCGTTATTCAATTAGGATTACATATTCGTAAATTAGTAGTTAATAAGTAGCTGGTAGGCTCAACATTGATTTCTTGGTCTCGATGTTTTGAAGCGTATTTGAAAATGATGAAAAAATTCTCTGATCTGTTTCCATTGGCTTTAAAGTAAACAATTGTGTAGTATTGTAGTTCATCCGTGACAAGTCTTATTCTATTTCAGTAATTAGTCAATATCCTATCGCATATTGGGTTCTCCAGGTGTGTTACATATCATATCTGTAAGGATCAGGAGTATTCACCAGCTGTTGGAGGAGGTTCTTCGGATCAAATAAATATTTCACTCTATTTTTTAGACTTTATTTTGACAGTATAATTTCAGTCACTGTTTTGCATTTTAACTGTTGAAATGGAGTCTGAAATATAAATTGAAATACCCATTAGATCCAATGAAACTCTTTTCAAAGCTGATGACTTCTTTCTTCCTTTATGAGTGGAAATATAAACGGACAGTTCTGTATATGACATGATGTATTTAGGTACGTAATAATGATTTCGGTATCTATCTTAATTTCTCAGTATCCTTGTTATGAAGTTCTCTTGTCTTCAGTCCTTGATATTCTGACTAATACTTGTGTTCTTCACTAGAATTGTGTGCGTAGTTTTACATTCAACCTGTGAGAGAAGTTTACAATATGTTCACTCAGATATACATTTTTATTGATGCAGTCAAATGTATAAGAAACAAGTTGACGATTAGTGTTCTGCGTAAAGCAAAGTATCTACGGATTACAAAAGTAGCTAGGCATCTTAAAGATGTAAAAATATATACATGGAATTCCCCTTCAAATAAATGACACCGCCACTGAAGCTCCCAAATCTGTTTTAGGAGATATTTAGTAGAAATATATACAAGGTCTTTCATTGTGAATGAAGTGTTTGATACTAATGACTAATGATTACATGCTACAAGTATCTTAGTTGACTGTAGAACATTATAACTCCCTTTATGCATCTTTAAGCCACTAGTATTAAACTCTTCTTTTCTCATTTTTTTCCTTGTCTTCTGAAGTCTTTTCCACTAAAGTGCTAACTTCATTTTCTCCACTTTCCATTGATTCTATCGCTGTATAATTGTTAAATTCAGTCTGGCTAGTTTTTTTCACAACAAGGATCTGCGCCAGGCTATGTTAATTTTCAGTTATTTGTATTATTTTCTGTGGAATACCAACTTGAAATCAAGAAATCTTTACAAATGGAATCACTGTTTAGTGCTCCTTAGTGACTTGCCTCGAGATAAGATTTCTCGAAGTTGTAATGAGAAGTTGTGACCAGTTTGGAGCGAACCAAGTTGATCGTAAGGACAGTCACTAAACAACAGCATTAGAAGAAGGTCGCACTACATCGCAAATTGACAGAAGTGAGAAATTTGGAACCATCTGATTTCAACCCAGTTACTCAATGTTAATATTCTAGAAGCGGGACCCGGAACTCCTGGGTTCGACCTCTGGAGGTAGAAATCATGAGTGTGAGTTACTGAGAAGTTCCATACTTGGACGAAACCTCTGTCCAGCACTTCCAGGTTTTCAATGGTTCTGCAACTTATGTCAGTCTGTGATGAACATCAACTTGAATTCCATGGAATTCTCTTTTTTGGGCCAACATTTCACGCTTTTATGTTTTGATATTAAAGTGTTAGGTGTCTGATGAACTGCTTCAAGAAATCACTCCAACATAATGCTTCTCCTCAATTCCTTTTCAGATGTAAATTATGGTATTAGGCTTACCCTTTAATACGTAATGCTCCTTGTTCCTGTTTAACCTTGAATAGGTTGCTCAACGGGACTTCAAATGTCTCATGTATTTTTCGTAAGATTCTGTGATATCTGAGGGTTGGTGTTATTATACTTAATCACCTTACCTCTGTTCATTCGTATCATACAATGTGTATGATAAATATGTAGCCACTTGATTACACCGTGATCGATTATTAAGCCTAAATCCAGTTGGACAATAAACAAGATCAAGTTTACTTCTTCTGACTGAACTTCGTCAACCTCATGATCAGCATAATCTCCACGTGAACGACTGAAATTGGGCTACTGAGGTAGAATTATAATCAAAGTATGAATCTGTTAATCAGGACCACAGTTTGATCACTTCTATATGCAAAGTAAATAAATCATTGAATAAACCAGAAGAAAAGCAAGCGAATCTTGAAGACTTAATTAGTGTCTCTTTACCTGGAGGCATTTAAGC